TAAATTCCGTTAATGTCCGAGCCGATCCGCGCAACACACCAATTCAGCTGCTATAATCGTGACAAACAGCTGCTGAAGTCAAATTATTAGGCTGTAATATGAACCAGAGCGTTCAGCACTGATCGTTTCATGTTTTAATAGCTTAATAGTGCCCATGTAGTCTGCACGTTATTCCAACAGTAGAGTCCTGTGATGACAGCTGTAATTAGGGCTATATGAGATAAATGTTAGGCTACTGTGTCATTTTGTAAAGGGACTGATGATGAAACGTCATCTCATCAAGCTGAGGGCTGAAATGATCTCCTGTTTACAAAAGGCGCACCGCAAAAAAGTGGTAAGCCTAGTCTGCTGTGTAGCCTAGTGAATGATCAGGCTGCTGTAATCTGACTGTTTTCAACAGATAATGTTTATTGGAACCTCGAGATGTTTCTACATGTTATAATGTTAACACACATGTTTCTGGATTGTGAAGAAATGATCTGTGGCCTTTAGTGCCAAAAGCTGTTCTTCTGCTCTGACAGAGATCACAGCTCAAACAGTGGACAGATGATGCAGCTGTGCAACAGGTCATATTTAACAGACGTCGCTTTAAAATTACGGCTCCGAGGAAAGGCCATCTCATTTCCTTAAATGCCCGTTTCCTCGACTCCTCTATCCTCGCGTCTCCTCCTCGACTCCTCGAGCTCGCATCTCGGGTGGGCGGGACTAACATGCGCCTCGAGGAGTAGAGGATGGAGGATTGAGGAGTCGAGAAGGTGGAAATTTGGGAAATGAGAAAGGCCCAGAGAATGGGCTACAGGTCCATTTGACTTAATGGGGCGCTGCGCAGCGTTGACTTAAAATAAGGCATGCTGGTTAGAAATTGTAACCGACTTCCGCCGGTGTTTTGACGATCTATGTTGCCTTGTCGATAAATGCTACCGTAGCGCAAATCGACAGCAGAGACTATCGAGTCGCTCTGCCCTATCGAAAAATGCTACCTTATGTGTTCCCTTTCTCAATCCCATAAAGTTATAACTCTCACAGTATTATGACATCTTCTGTTTTTGATTATATTATAACACCATTTCAGGGGCAGCGTTTTCTGATTAATGACTAATATCCCCTATCAAATAATGCTCCCATTACAGAATCATTTTATATTGCACCACTACTCACTCCATGTGTAGCCTACTGTAAGGAGATGGGGAGCACGTTGAAATACTATATTATGCCATCTTTATTTACGATATCAGAATCAGAATCAGTTTTATTGCCAGGTGATTCTGATATTGCTCACGATGGGCTTACTTATACAATAATACCATAACACAATAATAAAATAAAATCAGACACAAACTACAGTATAGACAACACTAATATACACACTATGAACAAATCAATAGACATATTGACAAATAGTGCAGTGATCAGAGTGCAAAGAATGCAAGAGTAAACTATTATTCTCATTATGTACATGTTGAAGGTGGATATGATATACAGGTACACATACATGCATACATGTACACATGTACACAGTGTGATGGAGCATAGTGCAAAGGATGCTGGAAAAAATAAATAAGACCTATGACCTGAGGTAGGTGTATTGGTATACAGTATATACAATATGACTTAGTATATGAAATAGAGAATGGTGAATAAATAAATAATAAGTAGTAACCAGTAAACAGGTGGCTGATTAGAGACAGAGTTACTGGCTTATTGCACAGGAATTGTTCCTGACACTGTGAGTCAGAAATCAGCTGTTCATCAGAGTGATGGCTTGTGGGAAGAAACTGCTTCTGTGTCTGTTGGTTTTGGCGTACAGTGCTCTGTAGCGCCTACCAGAGGGGAGGAGCTGGAACAAGTTGTGTCCAGGGTGAGATAGATCTGCAGTGATGTTTCCTGCCCGTTTCCTGACTCTGGAAATGTATAAGTCCTGAATGGAGGGCAGGTTGGCCCCGATTATTTTTTTTCTACAGTCCTGACTGTCCGTTGTAGTCTGTCCCTGTCCTTTTTGGTGGCAGATCCAAACCAGACTGATGGAGGTGCAGAGGACAGACTGGATGATGGCTGTGTAGAACTGGATCAGCAGCTCTTTAGGCAGGTTGAGCTTCCTGAGCTGACACAGGAAGTACGTCCTCTGCTGGGCCTTCCTGATGATGGTGTCAGTGTTGGGCTCCTACTTCAGGTCCTGGGATATAGTGGAACCCAGAAACCTGAAGGATTCCACAGCAGACACAGGGCTGTTGAGTATGGTGATGGGGGGCAGAGTGGGGGGGCTCCTCCTGAAGTCCATGGTCATCTCCACAGTTTTGAGCGTGTTAAGCTCCAGGTTGTTCTGACCGCACCAGAGAGCCAGCTGATCAACCTCCCATCTGTAGGCCGACTCGTCACCGTCCCGGATTAGGCTGATGACCGTTGTGTCGTCGCCGAACTTCAGGAGTTTGACAGATGGGTCCCCTGAGGTGCAGTCGTTGGTGTAGAGGGAGAAGAGCAGTGGGGAGAGCACACACCCCTGGGGGGCGCCAGTGCTGATAGTCCGGGTGCTGGATGTGATGTTTCCCAGCCTCACCTGCTGACTCCTGTCAGTCAGGAAGTCTGTGATCCACTGACAGGTGGAGGCTGGCACAGTGAGCTGGGTGAGTTTGGTGCTGAGGATGTCCGGGATGATGGTGTTGAACGCCGAGCTGAAGTCCACAGGGGTAGCGTATTCTGATATAATAATAATGTTGTTGTTTTTTTTTTTATATTACTGACAGATATTAACTGATCAGCCACTTTCTCGACGGCATTCCCAACAGCAAGGTTGCACAGATTTATGGGCGTGGAAACAGACCACGCTTGTGGGTCTTACGCATGCGCAGAACCGCTAAGTAGCACATCTCGATAAGTAGCATAAATCGACAGAACACCAGCGCTGCAAAACGTCACCATGTCACATTACATTAAAACCTCGCGGGAGCAAGGCGGCTGCAGGCGCCGAGTCCGGCGGCCGCAGTTGCTTTTCCCCGGCTGCTCCAAGTTGGAACCACAGTTTTGCCTGGAGATCAACCATTGATCTCAGCTCACAGTAAGCTCACGCAGGTAGAATGTGTCCGACGTGACGGTGCCGTTTTTATTCTCTGCCCCTGCAGCTGACGTTGGACTATCAAGTCGGCGAAAGTCAGCCGCCGGCATCTCGAACGCACCTTTTGAATGGGAATACTTTGGATGGACACTGTATTTTCTGCTAGGGGAAACTGTTTCATCCAGTAGGTGGCGGTGCAACATTTTCTGAACAACGAAAAAGAAGATGTTTGCTCTAACAGCGGAAGTGATAAATAAATGAAACATTATTGTCTAATGTGTTTCATCATAATAATTTTTAATTTGCATAGGAGTTTTATTTTATTTATTTTAGAACAGGAGCTGGCTATGTTTACTCCTCACTTTGATGCTGAGTAACTAACATCATAGCGTGAGTAGGTAGCATGAGCAACCTTCTTAAGCTAAGACTGAAAAGCTTAAGAGGTTTAGTTAATGTGTCTCTGTACTGTAATACACTTAATAGGTAAAAATAACTTTGACGTTGCTCTAGCTTACAGGAACTAACGGGCTACTACATTTTATTGGTAGCTTGTTGTTGAGCTTGCTGTGGGAGGGGCAGCTAGCTCCTGAAGTGTCCCCCACCCCCTTTCTGAATTCCCATTGAAAGTTTTCTTTAAACAATTCCCATAATGTAATGACCTTTATGGTTTTGGTTTCTGAGAAATAATGTGTTGTCAGTCATTTTGGCATGGCAGATGTGTCTAAATAGCATACTACAATACCCATGAGCCTCAGAAGTATATAACACTCTGTTTGCTTCCTTTGACGATTTCCAACTAGTAGTAAAACAGAAATCATCTGGTTGATTAAAACATTTCTTTTGACACAAATGGATATACTGCATAGACATATTGCTCAAATTGTGCGAAAATAAAACACAGTACCCTATCATGTTTATTTTTTGCTCTGCATTGTGACATTGACAGTTATATTCATTCACTTAGAACACTGACATTTTAATTATATTCAAGGAAATAACATCTTGTTTGGATGATCTGGCTGGATTATTATTTACGTTGATTGCAGGGACACCTGTTGTAAGACTGGACAGCACGGACCCAAACGCAACGCTCAGAGGGAAGGAGGTTTGAGGGTTTACAGAGGGGGCTAGGGAAAAGGTGATGGAGGAGAGGTGGACGCCGGAGGACGTGGACACGGAGGACCGAGGAGCAGGCGAGGCGCAGGCGGTGAGGCGAGGAGCGGGGGGAGCCGGGAGGGCGCCGTGGAGGAAGCCCGAGAGGAGAGGAACGGAGGATGAGGGTGAATGAACCTGGGAGGGAAAGCAGAGAGACAGAGTTAACACGAGGAACAACCGGGGACTGGAAAACAAAGATCACTTAAACCAGAGCTTGAGAGGTTGGCACCAGCTTGGGAGCAACAACGATCAAGCGAAGCTGGTGTGGAGAACCGGGGTTGAAATACTTGCTGAGATGAGGTTGATTACTGGCAGGTGTGGCAGACTGGGGAGGTTGCTGACGACGTGCGGGTTGTTGGCTGGGCTCAGGAGCGGAGGGAGAGAGAGAGAGAGAGAGAGAGAGAGAGAGAGGAGGAGAACACGGAGGCAGGCAGAGCAAAACAATGGGAGGAATAAAGCGGGAAAAAAAAAAAAAAGTAAACCAGGACACTCACCGTCAGCCGGGCTGTCCCCACAACAACACCTAAACTTAAAAGCAGACGGTTTGTAAAACCTTCCTGAGGTGTGCTGAATTGTTCATCAGCTTGTGCCATCTTCTCCCCATTGTGTATAATGACTGTAGGTTATTTGATGATGTGTGTGGCTGGTGTAATTAAGCCAATGACTTTGCAGTTGAGGTTGCACCCTACCCCACCATGTCATAAATAACCATGAAGTCACTGTGTTGACACTGTGGTAAAAATGAAAAGGAAATGCTTTTTTTTTTTTTTTTTTTTTTTACTTATGTGACAAACACCATCAGCATTTTCAGTCTGCTGTGGTCTAAAAGTGGTAAGTTAGTTACTTAAAAAACAATGTCTAAAGAAGGTTTCAACAAAGTGGCCTTTGCTCAAAGTTTTATGTACAGCGTTTTGGGTTCAAGGGTAAACCAGCACCTGCCAGGATTCAGGTCACTGTGGGCATATCGTGGGCCACACTGCTCCAATAACCTGCTCACCAGTTGTCCATATGCACCTTTTTTGTAAAAAATGAAAGTATTCACATCATTTACTTAAGCAAAAGTGAAACAACAAGTGAAAGTCCTGAATTCAACATACTATTTTACAGCAAGATATTCTCAAAGCTTTCAAAGTTAAAGGACTGATTGTTGATAATACTGAATTATAATTAGTGTTGCACTGATGTGTAAACATACTTTTTCTGTTGTAATTGATTGAGGCTAAGAGAACGTCTTTATGTTGCTGTATAGTTTAATCTATGTACATACAATCTTAATTAGCAAACTACTAACCACAGCTGTAAAATAATACTACAGTTGATGATTAAACGTCCTTAATTACATTCTACTCTTAAAAATATCTGATGTTTCTGATGCAAGCATTGTAAAAGATGAATATTGTTATGAACTACAAGGGCGTCAGGGGGAGCTTGGCTCTTCTTAATAAGCCATAAGCTCCCCTAAAAAAAAAAACCCAGGTGAAATGCTGGAATGGTTTTTACAAGCAAGCCAAGTTGAGGGGAGTTGTGTGAAAACAGCCTCCCATGGCCCCTTTTTGTGCATGTTAATGGGACCCCTTGGGCAAGTTTGACCAACACCCTTTGACCCTGACCCCACCTCCCTCAATTTACAATAATAGTGGGTTTTGGCATAATTGTGCTTCAAAAGTTGAAACCAAAATTAAATTTACAAGCACAACTACAGTCAAACAGAGATGAGGAAGTGCTGCCGTACGTAAACCTCTGTGCTTTTTTTTTTTTTGCTCACAGGGAAATGAAACCTTATGTGGTCACAAGAAAACGTTTCTCTTGGTCATTTGCAGCTGCCTCAGCTCACCGCTCTGTTTCTGTCCCACTCACGAGAACACAAAGGTGCTGTAGGACTTACTGCTGACAACAAATCCTTGGCAGGGAGGAGAGTTTAAATGTCAAAGATGGGGTTTGGGGAGGACCTACGGTGTCCCCAAGCACATACAGCTGTCATGCGGCTGCTGGACTCAGAGCTTCACCTGATGGAGGTCATGAAGAAGTGGATGGGTCAGCGGGCCAAGAGTGAACGGGAGTTTTCAGTGCAGCTGCACCACATGGCTGCCATGGTGGAGAAGCTGGACCGGCCTCAGCTCTGTGCAGGACTGGACTACATCAGCCAGCTCAACAAGGTGAGGTCTCATATCAAATTTCACTCTACACCTGAATCATCAACTGATCATCACTTTTCATTCCTGTGGAGGACAGTGTAAAATGCACAAAGTGTGTGACTTGAGGTAATCTCAAATTAGTTTTCTAAATTAAGGTTACCTTTAAAAACATCAACAACATGCAACAAAAAGTGCTGAAATACCTGACAGAATTGTGCATTTTTCTGGGGTCATATTGGGAAATAAATACTTCCCTAAATAGAAGTTACAATGTGAATGTAATGGTTTTTTGCTGCTTTCATTTTTAGAGCTTCAAAAACCACACAGTGATGTTAACATTAACAAAACGTTCACTGGCAAAAAATCATCCATATATGCTAAACAGAACTCAAGTGAATGCTAAGGAGTCATTGTGTGTATTTGGGGGGCATTGTGAAAAATACAATGTATGACCCAAGAATCTCAAAATAAATCTGTAAACTAGGATTTTCTCTTTAAGGTACTCATAAAATATGAGGTTTCTGGGTTTGGCTGAAGGCTTAGGTACCAATAACCCCGATCCAAACTTTTTTTTCTAGTTGTTATAGTTTTAAATCATTCAGTGTTTAAATTTGTTCTTAAATCCAAATAAGAAACCACTTATAGTATGCAACTACTGCAGCGGCAGAATCCTCTAAAATGTAATGCTTTAATAATTAAAAAATGCTTAGAAGTTTTTACCTCCATGGATTCTACATCTGATCATCATCTACATAGACTTTGCAAAATTACAACCATGTCAGACTCATGACCAGTGAGTTACGACCAGTAAAATGTATGATGTTGAAATGACGGCAAATTTAGCAAACATTTGCTCAGAATTGACCTAACTTTGACACAGTGTGCATCAAAAACAGTGATTTTATGCTTTGAAAAGCAAACTCAGAAAGGCAATATATATATATATTCTTGGCTTGGTGCGAGTGTGCCTGAAGTAAGCTCACGCACAGGCTTCCCTTTTTTCTATGATCCAAAACTATGTCAAATAAGTCATGAATCTGGCAACCAGTTACAGGAAACATTATGACATGAACAGACAGAAAGGTTCTTTATGGTCACCAAACATCTATTTATCTATGACATTACAAAGGGAAATTTATTTCTGCACCTCACAGTTCAGGA